CGATTTTTTTTGCGTTTTGACCCCCTGCGAGGATAGTTTTATGGGGGAAGCCCGGGGTTAAAATATTAACCTTTTTTGCAACTTTTTTGGAGATCCAAAATTAATATTCTCGGCAAAATTCAGGTTGTTTTTACGATTTTTAGGGGTCAAATAATCTGACGACTGGATTAAATATTGGAAATGTTTGTGGACCATCCCCATTCTTCATTTGAAAAAGGTGTTTACAAAATTGATGAATTTCTGAGACTTCGTTGTTAAAGGATAATGGCATATTCACTTTACTGTAAAAAGGTGTGATATGTCACTTTTAAATATTGTAACCAACGAACGATTGCCTCCGAATATAATGTTAGCAGCATCAGATGCAAATCTTAATATGTTGGATTTGTAAAGTATGCCTTTCATGGTAAAATATTTAATGATTTTCCATTTAATGCTGATGCCGTACCATGTTCAATAGGTATTAGTGTCAAATCTATCTTCTACTTGAAATCTGAGTTTACAGTCTTAACGGCGAGCGCCAAATGCTTTCTACCAGCGCATATTAATTTTTGTCAAATAAGAAGCGATATTAAGAGAGGTTGTACTCAGCAATAAAAGAAGCCATCTTTACGTCACCTCTTTCCGCTGCATGTTTTGGATCTAGTGATTTCAAGGTCGAATGTAGCATCTATGTATATGTTGGTGATTTAACTTACTTTTTCTAATTATTGAGGTCTTTTACAGAACGTTTATGCCGCATCGGCCCTTGAATCCTACATGTCACAGTTACAAGCCAGAACAAATAGGTATTACGAGTGTCCTTTTTGTTTTGCATATAGCCATAAGGACAAAAAATATAGATACTTAGTACATTTATTGCTTTCAAAAATATGTCCACGAAGATCGATTACACTTTTGCATACGTTCAAATCAATCGGTACAACAGTTATCCCAGTCTTCAGTTGACACCTGCAAAATCGCTGTTTTAAAGATATCGATGGCTTCGGCGATAGGAATCGTAGCCCACGCATTGAATTATTTATATCTTTGGGAAAGTGAAGAAGTCGTTTTGGGGCTATACGATGCGGTGGTTGGTTTAAGAAGCTCCAACAACTCTATTGTTTTTTGGGCAGTGTGAGCGCTTGCATTGTCCTGGCGTAGGAGGATTTGCCGTTGTGTGTTGCTTTGTCGTAGTTTCGCGATAACTTTTGGTAAACAAGTGATTATATACCAATCAGAAGTAACCATTCTTCGATCTTCTAAAGCAATTGTTGCCACATGACCGGATTTTGACACAAAAGTTGGGACCATTTTCTTTGACACACTTTGAGAACGGATCACTTTTGTTGGTTTTTCCTTATCGTGAAACACCCACACAGCGGATTGGCGTTTATTTTCCGGTTCGTAGGTGTAAATCCAAAATTCATCGCCATGTAACAATGCAATAAACATTTTTTGAGCTTCCTTTGTTAGACCGTTCCAAAGTTCCAATATCCGAACCGATTTTTGCTCTTCTGTGAGCAAATGCGGGATTCAACGGGAAACCAAATTCGTAACACCCAGTTCTTCATGTAGAATCTTTTGGACCGAGATCTTTGAAATGTCTAAAGATGCCTCTAACTCCTGGTATGTTACACGGCAGTGATTCCTTAATTAGCTGACGAACCTCATAAATGTTTTGCTGTGTGATTGCTGTTTTGGGTGGACCTGACCTGGATTCGTCGCTGAGACTGGAGCGACCACGTTGAAATTCGTAATACCAGCAGGAAATAATTGACTGGTGTGATGCTGCATTCCCAATTACAAAAACCGTTTTAGCAAGACATTGCTCTTGCGATAATCCTCTTGGAAAGTTGTAAAAGATTATTGCTCGAAAATGTTCTCGGCTAAGATTCATTTTTCGACCGACTTGTTAATTTCAAAAATTCACTGTATCTACACGACTCAACAAAAGATTGAGGCCATATTTGTGTCGGAAGGTTTTGGTGCTGTCCTCTAGCGGCTATATGCAAAACTAAAAAGACAAACCTCATACCTTTTGCACTTTTCTTCAGCCAGTCTCTGAATCTGTCGTCGTTTTAAACCACGAATCAATAAATTTTTGTTCATATTTTGAACTGTTCTTCCTAGGAGAGATTTTATTAGAATCTGTCACTGCTCATTGTTTTAAATCTTTTTTCCGAATAAATAAGAGAAATGATACTACGAACTTTGACCGCTTACTAAAGGAAATCAGAAATGACTGAGAAAAACCTGTTTTACGAAATATAAATTTTCCAAAGACAAGCAAAGCACAGCTATCCTTGTTCCACTTATTAAGCTATCCTGTTTTACTGTATATCAAAAGCATTACGCCAGTACATGGGGAATCCCCTATGTTGCAAGTTGTCCACTAGTGGCTCTAGTGATATGAATTAATGAATACAAAAACTTACTTTTTCTAAAAGGTTATTTCGGTTTGACATGTTGGTTTCAAATTCAGATACATCACCAAAAAATAGTAGAAATACAAACTAAAATAGAAAAGAGGCATGCCATGGCGAAAACAGTGAATTACTGTTAAAACAGTAAGATTGGTGAACAAGGCCTAAGTGACATGATTTAGACAACATTTTTAGATGTCATATTTAATATATAACATTTACTTTATAATCCACAATATATTGTGCATCTTCTAGACATTAATCAATAAAATACAAATTAGAAAAATGATTTAACCCTCTAAGGACGAGGTCTGACGTTTTCGTAACGTTCCAATCAAAGCGATTTGCAGGCAAACTATTAATCTAATCTCATCGATGCCAGCAAGTTACGAATTCGTAATATATTACGCCTTATGAAGAAAATGGAAAAGGATTGGGGAGGCCTATGTCCAAAGATGGACCGAAGAAGGCTAATTACATAGACTGAAACAATCACTGCGACACACTCCGGCCAATTTTTTCAACCGCATGCTTCTCGAAACAGATTAGGATACAAGTTGGCTGATGCTAACAGATAACTATAATTTTGATTTCAACAAAATCAGTGAATGTTTACCGAGAAGAAATCTGTAAACTAGGTGTTAGCGGGAAAGTTCTGTGTAGTATGAATAGTTCTGCTTATCATTATAAACGTCGTAAATTGAGATTGAACACGTGTTGTAAACGTTACGATTTCGTTACATTCGGTTTTATAGAGTCAAGTAACTAAATAGTTCAAAATTGATCCAGCTGTGTTTTATGGACGAAAATGGCATCAAGCCATTGACATACCAAGTGATAGTGATGTATTTCTGATTCTGAAAATGAAAGTGGTGAATGGGTAATAGAAGAGGACTCTGATTCTGAAATTGAGGAAGACCTTAGTGATGGTGGTAAAGAAATAATAAAAGAATAATGTATACGCAATAAGAATGAATATACCGATATAACAGAAAAAAAAACAATACTGACAGTGTTACTCCAATGTGAAACTACAGCTTACCAAAAGCTACTTCTATAAAAGACCCCATAGATTATTTTAGAAAATTTTCGACGATGACTTTCTAAATTTGGTTACTTACCAATCGAATTTATTTGCTGTTCAAACCAATCGCAATAAACCTCTGGGTTGACAATAAAAGAGCTAGAACAATTTATGGGTACAATATTTTATGTCTTTGATCAAACCACCAAAAACTCGATTATGTTGGAGTTCTCAATTTGATATTACTACAGTTAGTAAAATAATGAGTAGAGACAGATTGGAAACGATAAAAAACATATATATTTCTCCGATAATACCAAAATTGATTCGTCAAACTTAGATAAACTGTAGAAGATTAGACCCTTAGTAGAATATTGAGAGAAAAAATTCGAAATATTCCAAAGGAGCAGATGGCCGTGGTTGATGAACAAATGGTTCCTTTCAAGGGTCATTTCGGGCTAAAACAGTACATGCCAAAAAAGTCTCACAAATTTAGCTACAAATTTATGTGTTGCATACGATTGTGAAAGTTTATAGGTACTGGAAGAATTTCCGCTACTCCAGGATACAATGATACTGGTTCCAGCGGCAATATTGTTGTAACACTTGGTTTTACCATCGATACCTCTTTTGAATGAGCTAGTTCAAAAGAAAATATATTTTCTAGGAACAGTCCGCTCAAATCGTCTTCCTAAGTGTCCTTTTTTGTCAGACAAAATCCTGAAAACAAGAAAACGCGGATCGTTTCAGGAAATAGAGTTGATATGAACAGTACAGTATCAGAAAAATGATACTGTACCTTGCAGAATTATCAAATGACCCGACTCTCGTCCAGTATTGCTCATGACCAACTTTTCCTCTACCAAACTTCTTGATACAATTAGAAGATGAGATAAAACAAGGAAAAGATACTGTAGATGTTCAGTGCCCCACAGCAATTAGAACTTACAATAAATTCATGGCGGAGTAGATCTTATGATTCACTAATAGTGATAGAAATATTACCATCGCTTTTTATTCCATTTTATGGATATGGCAGTTGTAAATTGTTGGCTTTATATAGCATATGTAACATGACTGCAATGATTTTGGTGTTCCAAGGAAAAAACGAATTGTCTCTGTTTGAGTTTAAGGAAAGACATTGACAGTTACCAAAAAATTAGGACGTCCAGCAGTAGCAAAAAAAACACAAAAGAAGTTCAGCTAAAAAAATGATTCTTCAAAAGGATATTTGGTAGGATAAAATAGGACATTGGCCCGTTGTGAAAGATAAAAGAGGAACGATGTCAGAAAACATGGTTGCTAAAGCAGTTCCTGTGCATTATTGTGAGAAGTGCAACGTGTACTTATGTATTAATAAAAATTACAATTATTATTGTATTACTTCTGGATGCCTAATGTAACGTTTTCGTTACGTTTCAAATTTTTTTGCAAAAATAATGATGAAAATTAAATATTAATATAGCCATACACATAATTGAATTTAAACATTTTTTCGAAAGAATTTTTAAAATTTTGGAAATTTCGTCGTTAGAGGGTTAAACGTTTTAAAAGTGAATCGATATACTTACCATACAATCCCCTATTTTCTATTGGCCTATGTTGGACATAAAACGGTAATAGAAATTTTCCTTTCCTAGTTTTTTGTTTTACTTCTTCACTGCAGACAAAAACTAGTAAATACGGAATGAATATCCAAAATTTATTTTTCAGTAACATTTTGCCTAAAATAATAGTCAAATTAATAGATAAATGACTATATAGATGTTTATACTAACAAATTTGAACATATACAATAAAACTTCAATAAAACTAAAATATGCAACATAAATCGATTTTTTTAATGTAAAACAAACACAGTTATAATTTTAAAAATTAAAATGGACTACTGAATTTTGATACTGAATATAAAGAAGCAATTCAGTGAGAAAAAGTCCAGACAAGTTTCTGCAATTGTTCTGCAGTAATAAAATAGGTATTTCTGTGGTAAACTTCATCTTCCTTAAGTCAATTTCCTTTTAAGTTTGATCATTTGCTGTGCGTTAGTTCTTTGAACAACACGTTTTTTCTTCAATCTATAAGTTTTATATGCAACATTTTTCTCTCCATCGATTTTTGCTCCTGTGTGATTTTATTAATATTTAATAAAAATAAATAAAGTAATCCCTAAAATAATACAAGTCTGCTAACAAAAAGTTGTTTAAATAATTTCTACTAATTGTTTTTTACTTTTTCTACTTCTGCTACTTTATTGTATTGACATTAAAGGTTTGATGAGTTCAGTTAAAGCGTAGCTCTCCTAAACGGAGAGGGTGTAACCCCATTCGCATTTGCGGGCGACCTCGCTATGCTGATAGTGGCGCGGGACAGGGAGGACCTTATTTTTGGTGCACAGCGCACATGCAACCAAGTTGAGGAATGGATGAAAATGCATGAGCTAGAACTGGCTGGGGTAAGACCGAGGCTATAATTCTCAAGGGGCCAAGGAAAAGGGACGGGATAACATTTGAATGTGCAGGAAAGATAGTGGTTCCAAAGAAATGCGTGAGGTATTTAGGGGTGGCCCTGAGTCAAAACGGAAAAGTGGTGGGAGCACGTAAAAGCGGTGACTCAAAGAGCTGCGGTGAGATCCGCTACATTGGGAGGGATTATGCCCAACATCGGAGGGCCCAAATCTGAGAGGAGGAGGGCCCTTCATTCTGTCGTGCAATCGATCGTCCTCTACGCTGCGCGGTCTGGAGTTCTGCAGTTTTAACAAAGGCGTACAGAAAACAGCTCACCCGAGCAGATAGGAAGAGCCTATTGAGGGTGGCGTGTGCATACAGAACAGTCTCTGCAGAGGCGTTAGGAGTTATCACTGGGTGTATTCCAATGCACGTGCTAGTGAAGGAAAGAGGAAAAATATACGAGAAAAGAAATGAAGACATAGCAATAGAACGTTTAAAAAAAGAAGAAAGGGAAAGGTCCATAATGGTGTGGCAAGAGGAATGGGATGAGATGAGAAGGGTGGCGCAGTGGACGAAGTCGTTGATTCCTAACCTGAGAAGATGGATGGATTGCGGGCACCGGCGTTTGGATTATTTCCTGACGCAGATGCTCACAGGACATGGTTGCTTCAGGGCATACCTTTACAGATTTGGAAAGGCAGAAAATGACAAATGCCTGTATTGTGGAATATCGGACACTGTCTCACACACCCTATTGGTATGCGATAGATGGATAGTTGAGAGGAGCCTGCTTGAGAGAGAGTTAGGAGGTAGGGTGCAATCAGTCACGGAATTGGTGGAGGAGATGCTTAGGTCGTCAGATCGGTGGAGAGCAGTTCAGAGATATGTGAGGAAAACATTGGAAAGAAAGGAACAAGAAGAAAGGCGACCCGAAGATAGGCAGGGTGCCCAGGACCAAGCAAGAAGATAAGGCAGAATGAGTGAGATTTAACATGAATAGGGAGGAATAGAGGGAGAGAAGAATGCCGTCGTAGTGAGAAAGTGCTAGAATGCGTGAGAATTGTGCGTGAATGAAAGTTCGGGTGAATGCCGTGCCGAGGTTGCGTCCCAATCAGGGCGATCCGGCAGGTAATTCACCGCTGAGGAGGGTGTTTTTTTAGCAGGTAGGTCTCTGGCATTGGCGGCGATGGTGTCCGAACAACCCGAGCGAGCGGCCTCGGATATCATCGTGGCCACGCTGGAGGAGTCCTGCATAACCGAGGCTGGAAGGCGGTTCTGCTCGCCTTCTAGGACCGAGGTATGTTTCGAACATTTGGATCACCCCCCTCATAAAAGAAGAAAAAAAAGTTAAAGCGTAGCTTAAAAGCAGTTTTACTCCATACCGTTGGTTTCTATGCTTCTATTTCTATTGTATACTCATACTCTGTGTTCTTGAAAGAGATTTATACGAACTTGGCATTGATTTTACAAAAACTTAAATATGCAGATCGCGGTTGATAAACCGCGATCCGATTTGAAGATTTTGTGTATGCTGTGTGGTAACAAGCTGGTTACACCAAATTTCCTTGTTTTTTATGTTTATGGGACAGCTGAGACCGAAGTGATCACTCACTGTTCAATGAAAAGTTGCGAGAAAAGAACGCTTACAATTGGAAAACAATGTTTTGCAAGAAAATTTGGTACCACCAGAAACCATTTTCCTTCCTTCCCTTCATATAAAGCTAGGCCTTATGAACTAGTTTCTGAAATCTCTCCCAAAACATGGAGAATGTTTCAAATACTTGGTTAAAAAGTGTCCAGGTCTCGGATACGAAATTGAAAGAAGGTATATTTGTTGGACCATTTATCAGGAGACTTCAAGCGGATCGAGATTTTGTTAATATCATGATAGCTCTCCCAGAGATATTCACATTTAATAATGTTGTGGATAAATTTTTGGACCATAGTAAAGATCCTGATTACAAAAAAAGTCAAAACAATGCTAAAGTCTTTTTTCAAAAGTTGGGTTGTCTTATGAGCCTAAATGTACATTTTCACTCCCATCTGTACTTCCTCTTCAGAATTTTAGGACTGTGAGTGAAAAACAAGGTAAAGGTTTATGTCAATATTTCAAGGAGATGTAAACAAAGTATCAAGGAAAATTGGGCATAACAATGATGTCAGACTATTGCTGGAGGCTATAGGGGGATATTCCAGATAGTATTTATGAGCGAAAATATACCAAGATGAGCCTCATAGTAAAGAAAAGATTTTAGTTAAATTATCAAGCTCAATTTGAATTTAAAAATAAGTTTAAATACCCAAATACCCATCAAAAACAAGCTACTGCTGTAGACACAATGACTTAAATCTGTTTGGCGTTATTGTATACAGTGCTTTTCAGATAAAACTATCCACCTTAAATAACTTTTGAACCTCTAATTTTTTGGAAAAACGCAAAAACACGTCAATTAATATTTGAAGGGGGAGACGTTATATCATATTAAAGGTTCCTTGGAAATGCACCCTTTCACCCCCGGTATCAACCCTTAATTTTTTTAAATTATTTCCCCTTTTTTTATTTTATATTTGGATTCTCCTTTTTGTGTTGATTTCAAAAATGTATAATACCTTTGGCTTGAAGTGATTAGTTTATGAGATAGACAATTTTACTGTTAACAAGGATAGTATCTCTCTCACCTTAAATGACTGTAACAAAATAGGTTGTAGCATAATTTAAACTTTTTAATTATTTAACCTTACTATTTGTAGTACCTTCAAAAACCAAGAAATAAAAAAATTCACTTTTTATTAAAGTTTTATCAAAGGTTAAGAATAACCTTTCCGAAGATTTGGTTGTATTTCAACATGATGGAGCTTCTCCACACTTTGCTTTACCTGTGCGATAATTTTTAAACAAAACGTTTCTTGGTCCTTGGATAGGGTAAAGACGATAGATGATCGATTAACCACTAGGTCACCGGATTGAACACCCCTAGACTTCTTCTTTAAAGGGTATTTAAAAACAAAAATTTATGCTACTCAACCAGAATCTCTAGATGATATACGACAAAGAATAGAGGATGAATGTCGACACTTAAATGTAGACGTTGTTAAGCAATGTCAAAGAAGAATTTCAAAATAGATTATACTATTGTATGGAAGTGAAGGGCAGTAATTTTGAACAACTATTGTAAAAATTTTTAGTAGTGAAATGTTCATTCTAAATGTATGTAATAAAATTGTTAAAAAATAATTTTTTTTAATCCAATTTTCTTGCTTTTGTATTTATTTTTCTCATAAACTAATCACTTCAAGCATCATGTATTATACATTTCTGAAATCAGTACAAAGAGGAGAATCCAAATATCGAATAAAAAAGGGGAAAGTAATTTTAAAAAAATTAAGGGATGATACGAGGGGTGAAAGGGTGCATTTCCCAGTAACCTTAAATATGATACATATAATGTCTCCCCCTTCAAATAATAATTGACGTGTTTTTGCGTTTTTCCTAAAATTTAGAAGTTCAAAAGTTATTAAGGTGGATAGTTTTATCTGAAAAGCACTGTATATATGGGACAAGGTTGCTGAAATATAATTTTATTATAATTCTACTTCCTGTGGATCACAATTTAAAACAATTTACACATAAATAGATACAAATAAACGAAATAATGGAAACAAATGTCGACAAATGACAGAAATGATAACCAAATTATGACGAAGGATATTGACAAAGCTGTAAAAGAGGCACTCCTAATCTTGGGCAGAATATTAATGATACAATTACAAACAATAATAATAAACGATAATAGAATGCGGAAAATCGACTACATCATTTAATAATGTTGCTGCCAATAAACCCATGATAGTGAATACGGTAGCCAACGGTCATGGAACTAGAACAAGAAATAATGAAAAAAAAATATAAAAAAATATTAGAAACAACCAAAATATACCCAAATATACCACAAAAAAATAGTGAAAATATACGGGAATAAAAGATGGCCTGGATGGATGATTATTGACCATGGAACAAATGAAAAGAGACAGGCTTTCGTAGAGTGGAGAGAAAAAATTAGAAAAAAAAAAGTAAAACGCAAATTTATAGAAAAAAGGCCTATAGAGATATAATGGGGTGGAAATCACAATATTGGAAGCAGCAAAGGCCTCAAAACCATTGGAGATAGATGAATTACAAAGCTCTGCAGTGCATGACACAAACCATACTAGAAATCCTATGGGTTAATATAATGAAGGGATTGCCAAAAGTAGCTAGTATACAACACCTAG